TGTTCTTTCCTTTGAAAGCTTTCAGTCTTTGCAGATCAGTAGCAACAGCCCCTTATGGGTGAGGAACTCGCAGCCCCTCTGAAAGTCCACTTAGCTTCTTGTAAACTACAGAGTTGTCTTCTCTCCCCTGTAGAACTGTTCCCAGCTCCACAGCCTGCAGACACTACCAGCCCTCCTGGCTGCTCTGAAGATCTCGCAGGACAAGGATAAAGACTTAAGCACAGTGCTGTCCTTTGAAAGCTTGCTACATGTGGCAGTCTCTCCCTTGGTAAATACCTGGGTGTGTTTATGTACTCACTCTGTCTTCCTTGCTCCTACCGCTCCCAGGCCTTGATCCTGTTTATGACGTACTGCTGAATGGACCCTCCTGAGCCAGCCCAAGTCCAGCCTGGAGGCCGCCTACCCCTAGACCTAGGAGAACCCTCTGAGGCCACCGACAATCTCCTCAGCACTCCATCTTCCACCCAACTCCCCTGCCAGCCTGACTATCCCATATTTATGGGCTGCTACATCACTCTACTAGGGCCTTCAAACCTGGGATTGATTATACTCCCATAAACATGCTGTTTAGGTCTCCACCTCCTCCACCTACTGGCTTCCAATGGTCCTCCAGAACCAAGTGCAGACAATAGCGTCCCAACCTATTAGGCCATCCAGCTTGACCTGCAGTAACCCGACCTTAATCACAGACTCATACAGTTACCATGAGCCGTATACAATAAATCTGCCTACATCATTCCAGTAGCACACTAGAGGGTGCTACAGATGTTTAGGAATAAGTCCTTCAAGAACATGCCTCTGGGTGATCAGATTGAACTTGTAAAATGTACTGTCATCATATGTGTTTGCCCTACGTAAAGAGGATCTTAACTTGGCTATCCAAAGTTAAAGGTCAGCAGCTACAAGTACTATAGCTACTGACTTATAAAAACACATACTTACCAGCCCATAAAGTCCAACACTATCTTCGTCACACCTGAAGTCTTCATAATGTTTCTTTTCTTCCATACTGCTATCTTGGATTTGAGAGCTGGATGTCACTTCCTGATCACTCACAGCCAGCCCCCTGCTGCACATACATGATCGTAGTCTGCAGATAGTCCATCCTGAAGCCTTTTTAGATGTGTGATTATATAACCAACAGTGCCAGAAGTATGCCATGGGCTACATCAGTGGTCTCCAAACTGCAGCCCGGGGGCTGGCTTTGGCCCTTTGCTTGCCTTTACCTGGCCCTTGGGCACTATTCCACCAACTGACACCAATGATGGCACTCCATTCCAACTACTGAACCATCGGTGGGGTACTATTCTTCTCATTAATTTCAACAATGGGGCACAACTCCTCCTATTAAAACCAATGAGGGGGCACTGTTGCCAGGGCATTTTCTGCTCCCACTGAGCACAGTCTGGCCCCGTAAAGCCTGAAAGACAGTAATCTGGCCCTTTGCTTAGAAAGTTTGGAGAGCCCTGGGCTACATCATCATCATCATCTAGGTGAGTCTGGCCCCTGTAAAGCCTGGAGGACAGTACTGGTCCTTTGGGGTTAGAAATCATCGTCATCTAGTTTGGAGACCCCTGGAGAGCCCTGGGCTACATTATCGTCATCTAGGTGAGGAGAGAGGGGGGAATGATTAACACAAAAAAGTTACTTGCTTTACTAAAAAATGCAACGGGGAGAAAGCAAATATGAGGAAGTTAATTTTTTGTATGAAAGTCCTCTCTATGTATGTGTGTTGCTAAAACAGACCTGCTCACCCTCTCAGTGCTAGGCCTCCAGAATGAATTATTCCTCCTTTGCCCTTTGATATGATTGGTACTTTCAATGAGTGTCAATTAGAGAAAATAAACTGCTACAAACTCCCTCCAACTATTCTATTATTTACAGTTCTCACAGTAAAAAGAATTCAGAGACCATATGTAAATTGATGCAAATTGTGCTGTGTTTGGTCACGGGGCCCAGGCTAAAGACGTCAGTTCAGACAGTGTTGTACAGTCCTGCCATATGTGTGTATATATGAGATTGCGTGAGCCTAGCTAGCCCTCCAGAGAGGACCTGCGGCAGCAGAAAGTATGTGTGCATTCTGTTGACATGAGCTTACAAAGAGCGCAGTTTTCAAACAAAGAGCATGCTGCTAAATAGGTCATACATAAAAAGACATATGTCTATTGTTAGGCAGAGGGATAGTTTCATTCATTCGGCGTGGTGCCTGTAGGGGAGAAGCAATCCTAACAAAGACACTCTTGTGAGAACAAGCCATGCAGCGTAGTAGCATGCAGTATTATGTATGACAGCGAGGTCCCTGGAAGGAAGCTTTTCTGCATCATATGACACTTCATTTTACACCTAGAAGATAACTTACTCACATTTCAAAGGACAACTCCTATCATTCGCACATGTCACACTTTGCTCTTTGTGTCATAGCCTTTTGTGTACCTGCCATTATATACTTTTCCCCAAATTTTTAATACAGGGGTAGTACCTTGAATTTCACCCAGGGCAAAGCAAGAGGTTAGCTTTAATGCCCCTAGCCCAGCAATACATACTAACCTTTAGACAGCCCATACATTAACCACTTCCAGTCCGGACACTTTTACCCCCTTCCTGTCCAGGCCAATTTCCAGCTTTCAGTGCTATCACACTTTGAATGACAATTGCGCGGTCATGCAACACTGTACCCATATGAATTTTTAGCATTTTTTGAGACAGATAAAACTTTATTTTTGTGGTATTTATTCACCACTGGGATTTTTATTTTTTAGATTTTTATTTTAATGAAAAAGTCCAAAAAGTTTGAAAAAAAAGTTTTTCTTATAAAATTTTGCAAATAAATAATCTTTCTTCATAAATCTTGGCCAAAATGTATTCAGTTATCTTTTTAGTAAAACAAAATAACCCAAATTAGTTTATAAACCGAAATTGTAAAATTTTCTACTTTTTTTTTACATTATTTTATTTTTTTTATATTATTATTTATTTTTTTTTAACATACTGTCACCCTAGCAGTACAGTGTTGCCATAGTGACACTGTACTACTTGTGGGGGGTGATGAAGATTTTTTTTTTTTCTTACACTGATTGCTTTTACACCCATAAAGGTTGTAAAAGCAATCATTTCTCCTTCTCTGGCTGCATTCTTGCAGCCATTGACAAATACTGTGAGAGCTGCGATTGGTCACAGCTTGTCACATGGTACAAGGCTGTTGTGAATAGCCTTGTACCATGTGACCTCTGTGATCATTCACAGATATCACATGTAGTAAGCAATGATGTCAGAGGTCAGCACAGTGGCTAAATGGTTAGGGCTTCCGCCTGGCAGAACTCGGGTCGTCGGTTTGAATCCCAGCCACGGCACCTCCTGCCTGAAGTTTGCATGTTCTCCCTGTGCCTGCGTGGGTTTCCTCCAACACTCCAAAGACATGCTGGTAGGTTAATTGGATCCTGTCTAAATTGTCCCTAGTATGTGTATGTATGAATGTGAGTTAGGGACCTTAGATTGTATGTCCCTTGAGGGTTAGGGACTGATGTGAATGTATTATATATGTGTAAAGCGCTGCGTAAATGGACGGCACTATATAAGTACCTGAAATAAATAATAAGTGACATCTTGCTTACTACCAGGGGTGGACTGACCATTTGGAAACTCAGGCACTGCCCGAGGGCCCGGGGTCAGTAGGGGGCCCCATGAGATGTCCCTGGTACCTGTTTCATAGGCTTTTTTGAGTTTGGGCAAGGACACAGGGGCCCCATGATCCCCTATGGCCCCATAAGTTGTCAGTCCACCCCTGCTTACTACTATTCATGTGATCACTGATTGGCCAATCAGTGATCACATGATCGGGACCTCACACAGAGGTCCCGTACAGCGATCGGTGTTCTTCCGGATCACGGTGCTGCAGGGAGTGCGCAGAAGCAGGGAAGCAGGGAGGACATTTATAAATGGCCTCCCACCCCTGCACGGCTCCTGTCCGGATGTTTATCTACATTGGCTGGACGGGAAGTGGTTAATCATTTTTTTTTTCAGTCAACCAGAGTTTATTTGTTAAAAAAAAAGTGCAACAACCACCATTGTATTTTACAGGGTCTCTGCTTTAAAAAATGAATAATATTTGAAGGTTTTAAACAATTTTCTAGCAAAAAAAAAAATGTAGATTTTTACATGTATGTGGGAAATGTCAGAAATGGCCTGGGTTTGAAGTGGCTAATACAAGACCACTTGTGTGTCTCCATTTGTTAAGGGGCATGGGGGAACCTCCAGCATGGGACGGTAAGTCCTCATGCACACTAGACGTTTGTACAGTTGCTGTTTTGGCTTCTGGTGTTTTTTTTTCTACAGCCAGTAAACTCCCCAGCATGCTATCCTATGTATCCACCACAAATAGGATTTAACACCTTCCTGCCAGAGTAGTTCAATATTACTATGGTAACATTGTATTGCTTTGGTCACAGTGTGCTGAAAAATAAAAGAGAAAAAAAAAAAGAAAAAAATTCATGAAAAAAAAAATAGAAATATTTAAAAAAAAAAAAAAAAAAAATTAAATTATTATTATTATTACCACCAAAGAAATGTAGCAGAATACATTCTGACCTAAATTTATGAAGAAAACTGTTACTGTATTTTTCGCACCATAAGACGACTTTTTTCCCCCCCAAAAAGGGGGGAAAATGTCAGTGCGTCTTATGGAGCGAATATAAAGCGGCGCCGGTCCGGTATTTTTGCGGCCACCATGTCAGAATAAAGCTGTTCTCTCCTGCAGGGCCTTACCTTTCCTCGCTCCAGCGCTGCACAGTCTTCCCGCGCTGGCTTTGTGACAGTCGGGTGCCCACTGCGCAGTGTGCGCTTTGTGAATTACATGAAAGGTCCCAGAAGGCGCCGGGCCATTCACAAAAAAGTGGGCACCCGGCTGTCACAGAAGCCGGCCCGGGAAAAAAGGCAACTCCGCGGAAGTGGGAGCGGGTACCTGTCAAAAACCCGCTCCCCCTCCCTCCCCAAAGGTCAGCAGTCTCTGGTCATCCCCTTCACTGTCTGCAGTCTCTGGTCATCCCCTGTACTGTCTGCAGTCTCTGGTCATCCCTGTACTGTGTCCGCAGTCTCTGGTCATCCCTGTACTATGTCTGCAGTCTCTGGTCATCTCCTGTACTGTGTCCGCAAATCCCCTGTACTATGTCCGCATCTCTGGTCATCCCCTGTACTGTCTGCAGTCTCTGGTCATCTCCTGTACTGTGTCCGCAGTCTCTGGTCATCTCCTGTACTGTGTCCGCAGTCTCTGGTCATCTCCTGTACTATGTCCGCAGTCTCTGAATCTCCTGTACTGTCCGCAGTCTCTGGTCATCTCCTGTACTGTGTCCGCAGTCTCTGGTCATCTCCTGTACTGTGTCCGCAGTCTCTGGTCATCTCCTGTAAGTCTCTGGTCATCTCCTGTACTGTGTCCGCAGTCTGATTCTCCTGTACTGTCCGCAGTCTCTGGTCATCTCCTGTACTGTGTCCGCAGTCTCTGGTCATCTCCTGTACTGTGTCCGCAGTCTCTGGTCATCTCCTGTACTGTGTCCGCAGTCTGGTCATCCCCTGTACTGTGTCTGCAGTCCATTGGTTCAGAATATTTTTTTTCTTGTTTCACCTCTAAAACCTAGGTGCGTCTTATGGAGCGAAAAATACGGTAATTTTTTTTTTATGAAGATAGGTTATTTATTTGCAAAATTTTATAACAGAAGTGAAGAAAAGTGCGTTTTTTTTTTTAAAGTTTCAGGTGTTTTTTGTTTTATTTAGCAAAAAATAAAAAACTCAATAGTGATTAAACACCAACAAAAGAAAGCTCTATTTATGTGAGGAAAATTATAAAAATTGCATATGGATACAATGTTGCATGACCACGTAGTTGTCATTCAAAGTGCAACAGAGTTGAAAATTGGCCTGGGCAGGAAGGGGATATTGAAGTGGTTAATCAGCGTTTTTTGGTGAGAGTGTTTTCTGGCTGGAAAAAAAACCCCCCAGGACTAGTGGGTTTCAAGAGGAGTTTTGTTTTAGCTGTAAAGATGTTCTAACGCTGAAAAACGCCAATAAAAGCTGAAAAACGCTAAAAACACGACTATCCGGTGTTTAGGAGCGTTTTTGAGCTGAAAAAAAGCTAATGCAAAAAAAGCTAAAACAAATGCCAAAAAACTCACGTTTTTATCACAGCGTTCTACAGCTAATGCTATTGGCGATTTTATAACGTCCAGTGTACATGAGGCCTAAATGAAACGTGCCAACAAACTGAGCCATAAACTGCTCATAAGGCAAAGCTTTGGGGGAGGGGATTTCCCCAATCCAACCCAACAGAAATCTGTCTTCCAAGCAAACTAATAGGCATTCATCGATAGAGAAGTGCATGTGGCAGCAATGACATATGGGGGAGGGGGGAGACATGGTCCATCAGAAATCCTGTAAAGAAAAGAACAAAGTAAGTAAAGGTAGTAAAACCTGGAAGAGGAAGAAAGAGCAAAAAAAAATGGAAAGAGAGAAAAGAAAAGGGGAAAGATACTGGAACTTCCCATAGGCTTTCTTTATGAGACAAGGCTTCAAAAGTCACTTTCAAAATTTTAAAATCAATTTTTTTTTTTTATTCCAGGTACTTATATAGTTACTATCAATTTACGCAGCGCTTTACATATATATTGTACATTAACGTCAGTCCCTAACCCTCAAGGGGCGTACAATCTAAGATCCCTAACTCACATTCATACATACACATTCTAGGGCCAATTTAGAAAGGAACCAATTAACCTACCAGCATGTCTTCGGAGTGTGGGAGGAAACCGGAGTACCAATCTGCTTTATTAAAAAGAAAAACCTGGTGATACTGCTCTGAGGTTCCTTGTTTAGGCACTTCCTGTTTTGGAGTGACAACGCTTTGTCCCGGTCTGCGAAATGTGTTCCTGTGTTGTCACACAGGCTTCAGATACAGACTACAAGTCAGATTTTTTTAAACACATTACAGAGGCACGCTCCGCTCTTGTAACCATCAACAAACCATTCCTAAAAAATGCTGTGTAGCTATTGCTCGAGTGAAAGTATGCAGACAGGAAGTGGCAGCAAAGTGTTTGCAGGAAATTATTAGCACTGAGGTGTAACAAACGATAAAAAGAAGTTTCAATTGTTTATAATGCACAGCCAGTTCCTAAACAAACTGTCATTTAAGATGGCTAAATTAGGAGCTTTTAGTAGATCATACCCTCCCATACTATGTGTCTGTGTCCACCCCCTACTATGTCAAAACTGATTGACAACACAGCTCAAGTAGTATATGCTACCCCGACCTCTCCAGCTCCAATACCCAGAACAGGAGGAGGCTCCACGCCAGTTCAAAAAGAAGCATTTTCTGCATATGTGCCTTACAGCTGCACACTTTCTGGGCTTGTACACTAGTGGTAGATCCACAGGGGATCGCTTTTCAGAGGACATTTGACAGGTGGTGAGGTATGTTATGTCAGTTCCTCACTGCCTGTTTTAACCCCTAAAAGCCTGCACCACCACTTGATAATGTTTGCCATGCCACAATGCAAAGCATGTGTATACCCCTGTCCAGTTGCCTTTGTTAAGGAGAGGCAGAAAAAAAAGCAGCTCAGCCACTTGTTTTTACCGCCCCAACCACCAATGTAAACAAGGCCTTGAAGTCCCTTCACATTTTTCCACTGCATTGCCTTAGGTTACTGCAAGAGAATTTTTGTGTTAAGGCTAAACAATTTAATGCAGTGTTTCTCAACCTTTTTTCAGTCAAGGCACCCTTTAAAATTGTGGACAGTCCCGAGGCACCCTTTTTAAAATTATGGACAGTCCCGCCCCTTTAAAATTATGGACAGCCCCGACACCCTTTAAAATTATGGACAGTCCCGAGGCACCCTTTAAAATTATGGACAGTCCCGAGGCACCCTTTAAAATTATGGACAGTCCCGAGGCACCCTTTAAAATTATGGACAGCCCCGAGGCACCCTTTAAAATTATGGACAGTCCCGAGGCACCCTTTAAAATTATGGACAATCTTTAAAAAAATTGGATGGACAATCTTGAGGCACCCCATTCTAAATGTGAAAACCTATTCTAATAGTTTTATATAACGCAGCAACATCAACACACATAGGACACCCAACATTAGAGGTGATTTATTCTTCCAAAGCAAATACACTTTTGCACACTGGTACTGACTAGTATTCCAGTGTTTCTCTCTTCCCTCACTGAGCTAATGTGACCCCAGCACTGATGGAGAGGGGCAGGGGAGGGTCAAACTATGATGCTGTGCAGGCAGCTGACATCCTCCTTATCAACTGATGATGTCATTGGTTGTCAGGACGCCGGCGGCTAGAAGGTCGTAATGGTGCACGATGAAAAGCCAGTGTGGCTTTGTGTAACTAAAAGGCAGGATTGATCCACCCGCTGGCTTGTATACAAGTTTTGGGCAATTTGTAGACATTTTGCCAAGGAACCCCTGAAGAAACCTCAAGGCACCCTGGTTGAGAAAGGTTGATTTAATGGACAGGCTTATGAACCTCAATACAGGGAAAAAAAAAACCCACCTGCATTGTTTTTGTAACCCAGCACATAAGCACCCTCAGCACGTGCATTGGGGTCCCATTGAATTTTTTTTAATGTGTATCGCAGAAACATTTGGTATGGGTACACACAAGGACCCACTCAAACCATATGCATTGGGCAGCCTTGCCAATGCAGTCCCAACACATAGACAAGGTAATTTGCCTTAAACTGGTTGTAAACCCTTACATATTCCCAGTGAAGTGACTGACCTCAGGAGATAAAATAAATCCACCTACATTGTACCTCTTTGTCTGCAGTCTTCTCTATTCAGCTGTTCAAAGTGCAGAATTTATACAGCTTGTCTGAGCTGTCAGCAAACAGGGGGCAGAGAGCTGAGGTTACACTCTGCAGAGCTCAGTGAGGGGAGCTCTAAGTACTCACAGCTCATAGGAACAGAGCTGAGGCTGTCAATCACAGGCTGTGTGCTGGAGGTCCCTTCCCTGTCACCTTTCTTCTCTTGGTGTCAGGAAAACTTGTCAGAAGTGACTCATGCTGATAGTAGAGGAATGAAGCAGCAGACAGAAATGACACTTAGTGCTCTGGATTAAGACAGTACACACTATAGAAGGATATGCTTTGTCCATATTTTAGGTCAGAGATTAACAACCATTTTAAGTCTTAGGCTCCTTGTACACGGCATACTTCTGAATGATGGAAACTGACTGCTGGAAAATGTAGGTTAAAAAACATATGTTTAGCTGCATTTGCATACCGCGTTTATGAGCGTTTGCGTTTAGAAGCGTTTTTTAAAGATAACCTCAGGAAACCTTCCAAAATGCCCAGAATGCACTGAAAAACAGTAAAAAATTAACTATTTCAGACATTTTGAGAGAAATAGAGAGAGCAGAAGCAGAGAGAACAGTATGTGTTGAGATTAGCTGGGTTTTTTTTTGTGGTGTTTGCATGTGTTCCAGCTCATTTCTGTGCAGAAATTATTGCAGCAGTGTCTAACATATTTTCTTTCATGTAAACCTCAAAGTATGGTATACCAGGTCCATTTGAGGACCGGAAAATGCTTTGCATGCATTTTTCATGTTGAAAAAAGGCTCTGGACAGCATCTGGAAATGGAAGAGTTAAAAAAAATGTCCAAACGCAAACACTTATAAACATGGTTAGCTGCGTTTACACACTTTTGGCATTTAAAACGCTGATAAAATCTACTCCTGAATACAAGTTTGGTGCGTTCAAGAAAAAGACTGTAAACTCAACTGCCTGTAAATGACTGTAAATGATATAGTGTACATGGATACATAGGAAAACATTACGGAGAGTTCAGGGGCTGTTGAAAAAAATGCAGAAAAGCTCCTGAACATGAGTTTATCAGCTGCAGTGTACATGGAGCCTTATATGTTCAGTGCACTGCATAAGGCTAAGTTCACACTAGGTTTGTAGACAGGCATTTTGCAGGCATTTGAGGGGCATTTTTAACGCTCCTCAAACGCCTATGAAAATGATACACATGGCAGCACGCAGTGTTGTTCTCACTGAAGAGTTATCGTCGCGGTAAAATTGATGCCTCATGTCCAGTCAGGAGGAGTTGAAGCCTTTCAATGTCTCCCATTCAAGTCTATGGTAACGCTCCTCAAATGCCTGGCAGACGTTTGCAGGGTGTTAATACCATTAAATTCATTATAGGTGTTTGTGGTGCGGTTTTATTGCTTGGAAAATGCCTATGGAACGCCTCAAAAATGCACATAGAGCGTTTGGGGAGCGTTAAAAACGCCTAATGCCTGTCAAATGCTATAGGGGCGTTTGGGAAGAAGTCCAGTGTGAACAAGCCCTAAGAGTGGGACATGCACTAATTATTGGAGGCTCAATGCAGTACACCACATTACAGCCTGCTGTGGTGGATAAAGCTGAACTAAATAAAAAATATCACTTTGTGAAATTCCAATAAAGTGGAAAAAAACAACAACAAAAATGACATATATGCTGCATTGGCACCGCTCCGTACACTGAGCTCACCAAGGGCCGCGGTATAATGCGATCACTGCTATGAACAAGCTCTAAGCGTCAAGTCAACTTTATAACAATTTTTAAAATTGTTTTGAATCTTTTATTAAATGAGCTCATCTTCATAATTATCATAAGCACATTGCTGCGGATTATAGACAATCTCCAAATCTGTCCTGGGAACTCTCAATGATAGATCCAGCGCCTGAATATCTGCTTGGTAATTTCACTATTCATTAATCCCACGCTAATTATTCTACAAATCTCCAGGCTATTATTATTGAGTTGCATATAAGTCTACGCCCTCACCGCAGGAAAAAAATGTGTTCTCAGACCAGTTCTCCCTCTTTGCAGTGGGTCATGCCAACTTCTGACAAGGAAAATAGTTTCGCCAGGAATAAAAAGCATTTTGCTATGACAACAACAACACTTGTTAAAAGGAATAAAATCCGTAAGAAAATAGCTGCCAACTTTTTAAAAAAGTCCAATTGTTTTAGCGAGTTTACTCTGCCGGCATTCTTGGTAACATCACGCGCATTAGTCACTGCTTGCCGATTTTGGATTGTTCAGTGTCTTTTTATTTTTACCTAAAACACTGGGTGTGCTGCCGGGGAAGAGAACCTCCTCCACAGTGTGGATATGGAATTAGCAAGCCGTCAATTACTGGCTTATCAGTGTTAGGCTGCCTGTAGCTACCATTCATATTCATAATCGTTCAGCAGCAACTTGAACTTAGCAAGGGTGTGTCTCTCTGTCTGTCCATCTATCTGAATCCCTCAAATCCGTGACATGTGAAGCAGGTTGTGCTGTAGAACAGATTGACGAAAATGTAGATGTTGCTTTTACTTTTTTTTTAAATCCAGCTTACCAATGCCAAGTAATCAGTAGTGGAAAAGCCACGGGTTGTGCACTTTTATTTCAGAACACAGGAGCTTCCAAACCACACATAAAGGCTGCATACACATTACATTCAGGCTGGGTTCCCACTGATAGGGTACTGAATTTGCAGCGAATTCAGAATAGCACCCCGTTCATGTGAACCGATGCGGATGTGTATGTTAACAACACCTTGAAATCGGTCCGCAAAACGCAGTGTGATGTGCAGAATCAGATCGCATAGGTGTGAATACCCATGCAATCAGATTCTAGTGCGGACCCAAAAGAGGGTCCTGCACCTTTCTGGTGCGGGTGCGGTGCGATCTGAGCCATAAAAAATGTATGGCTCCATTCGCACCACACACAAATTGCATGTGATTTGCACAGGAATGCGGTGTGGTTTCTGTGTGAATCACATGTGATGTACAACACCGCATTAGTGTGAACCTAGCCTTAGTATTACATTTTATTGTTAATGTGAACACTTCAGAAACAAGTTGGGTCTATTTACATAGAAACAAAGTAGTTGATTTACTAAAACTGGAGAGTGCAAAATCTGGTACAGCTCTGTATAGAAACCAATCAGCTTCCAGGTTTTATTGTCAAAGCTTAATTGAACAAGCTGAAGCTAGGAGCTGATTGGCTGCCATGCACAGCTGCACCAGATTTTGCACTCTCCAGTTTTAGTAAATTAAGCCCAAAGTGTCTCTCCAGGTCAGGCCATACTTGCCTACTGCAAAAGGATGTTTATCCAGCCCGTTGCTGACAACTAGCGCCAACAATGTATGGGTGACGGCACATCAAGGGTCCTTTCACACAGGACGGACCCGTTCAGCGGATCTGCTTGTTCAGCGGGGGATCTCTCCGCTGACAGCTCTGTGTCCGCTTCACTGCTGCAGACACAGAGCTGCCCGCTCTCCTCAATGGGCGGTCGGATGAAAGCAGACCACCTGTCCATTTTCATTCAACCCAACCCGATGGACGGAAGGGAAATTGGATCCCCATCTGTCCCTTTTTGGTGGATCAAATTGGATCAGATGTCGGTGGGTGTAAACGGACACTTGTCCGTTTATAGCCGTCGCTCCATAGAGGAGAATGGAGGTTCCGATTGGGTCCGCCTTAAAAACAGGAAGGCGGACCCAATCAGAACATTTGTGTGAAAGAGCCCCAACAGTTCCATGCAATTCCTTTATTGATGCTTAACCCCCTGAGGCCCTTTAAGCGGAGTTTAGTGCAGGGAGCAGCTTTGTGATCAAATGATTGCTGTGACTGACCCTCACAGCAGTCACATGATCAGAGTCTGTCCCGCTGGCTTCCAATCAGAAGAGCTGTCATGGGCAGCTCCATCAGTGTGCTGGGATTGTGCTCTCAGCAATCATGAAGTGCCGTGGACACATATATTTGGTAGCTGGGCATTAAGGCCACCACATAGCAGTTGGGAAGAGATTAAAGCATAGCATAACAGGTACAACTGTTATTGAGATCTCTTACGCGTTTTATGCACATACAGTTGTGTAGTCATAGAGTCATGGTTCATAGAACTCTATGAGTAAGTGCCCATGTATGTAATATGCATGACATCGCAGCTCCTGTTGTACTCGTTATACCATGCCTAAAGCCTCAATAAAGAAATTGCATGGAACTGTTGGGGTGCCATTACTCATC